TAGTGCAAGTTGCTATTGTAGAGTAAACATGATTGCATATGATGTACCAGAAGCTAAATGTTATCTTTATTTTAATAATATACATGATACATGTATTGCATGTGTATATGTAATACTACAATTTCATACACCAAATGGGATAGGTATGGTTAAAGGTGTGGGTATATGCAATTATGCATTGAGGGAATTTATGCTACTACAATCACATAAATATGAATGGTATGGGAAATGACATTACATCATTGTGAATACAATATCAACCTCAGTATTCAACTTTCACAAATGACAATAAAGAAAGTAGCACACGCACAAGCTAAATACATAACTTGAAATCAACAAAATTATTACACTTTAGCCTAGAGTTAGGACGTGTCATAGTCATCGTACAGACATGGCTGACTATAAAAGCCTTATGAAGCCAGATCAAACAGTCTTATGGCTGCCTACAGTCATTCAAAAAACCTCATAAAAGCACGAACTGTTAACAGCCCATAATACATTGAGCAAGGTGGTGGGCTTAGCACAATCATGACAATGTCATAAACTTGAATTGTCATTATCGACTATCAAACTCTTTATGGTAGAAATACCTCTGATGAAACTGAAGTGGGAACAGACCACAAGTAAAATCAAGAGGAACTGTCTCTCAGGAGAACTAGTCGGGTGCACCAGTAACATTTATGTATCTGTAGATCTCTGCTCGACTTTCGAGATGCTAAGATTAATAAAATCATTATTCATTAATCAAATCAGTGAACCACACCTTGCATAATTGGGTGTGACCAACCATTATTAGCCTATAATTATAAAATTTACTCCATAGACTCTTCCATAGATAATGGTTCAAGTGCACACATGCACTTGAGCTCTCTTTTGGATATCAAAAATCCCAAGCTGATAAGATAAGCTCTCTTTCCTATAGTAATTTGATCTATAGCTTGAATGACCCAGTACCATATACGCCAACAGCCCAACACTATTGACCCTAAAGTGTGAACATACACGTGAAGCCATTAAATGTAAGCTGGTAGTTTCTTGCTTGTCTGGGAAGGTTGTGGTTCATGCTAATTTCTATCTCTTGTATTACGAGCTAAGACCAATTACAATGATAATACTCACAATAACAAAAGTAAAAAGATGACATTGATTCAACAAAACAACACAAGTGTATTATAGAGCATGTGTATAACAGTATAAAATAAAAGTTAGGTATAGTCCATTGCCGTCTTTTGATACGGCCCATTCTCTAGTTGTCAATAAAATTGACATACTATTACTACAATCACTACAATTGAAAGCATTACCACCAACTATCCATTCAACAATAACTTTTAATTTTACAATAATAATAATAACTTTTACAGTAAATGTAGCTTGAATGACAATGACCCAGTACCATTATATACACCAACACTACTGACCCTAAAGTGTGAGCATACACATGAAGCTTTACAAATGTAAGGACACATCACACATCCATACCATTACTTAATTCATCATTAATTCACAATTATAGACTATTGAAATAAAAGGATACATTATTGACAAAAATATAAAACATATAACATCAATAAGCTCAATAAGGTGGTGGTTCATCACGAATGCCAGTAGACTCATCAGTACCAGGGTTTGTTCCTCCATATTCTTGTGGCCCCTGGTATGAATATCCTTGTACAGCAAAACCCTGCTGCTGTGGAGGAGGTGAAGGATAACCATAGTCTTGTGAAGGGGCAGCATAACCAGGATAAGCCATTGGTGCAGCAGTCTGTTGTGAATAGGCTTTCTGCTGTTCTATATAATCTGAGTAAGATGGAGGAGGAGGAAGTTGATTTTGTGTATTAGGCTGGGATTGTGTATAAGCTCCAGTTGCAGTACTTGTAGTTTGTGCTGGAATTGATATCATTTGAAATGCAGGAGCTGCTTGTCTGGCTCTGGAGGAGCTTGCTTTGGAACGTAATGCAATTTCACATACAACA